CCATTTGGCCATGATCTATGGCCCACCATAAACACCATTTGGTGCAGTCAAAGGGTGCCCATGGTGAGCAAAATAAGAGGTGAGTGAGGGAGCAGAACTGCAAAATAACAGTTGGCCTACCTGGGGTGGGGAGGGTTGCCAAGGAGTCACAGACAGGAGCTTTCTCCAGCATTGAGCGGGGGCGGGGGGGAGAGGAAGGGCAAAGTCAAGACTGTTACAGTAAAACTGTAATCTATGCAGGTTGATACAGAGCCCCAAACTGAACTTCTAATGTGCTCAAGAGTGCACTGAACTTCCAAGTTCTACGTGGACTAGTACCGTGGTTCAATGGGCAGCTCGATGGGTCCCCAACCCACACTCCCAAGGCATTCATCCTACGTGGCCAGCTCAGGGATCAGAGCATCCTACCTAGTTGACAGGAACCTCTGAAGACCAAGAAAGACTGGTCAAATGGAAACCACCTAAGTATCCATCAACAGATGAATAGATAAAGAAGCTGTGGCATACAGTATGTGATATACAATGGAATACTACTCAGCAATAAAAAAGAACAAAAATTTTGCCATTTGTGGCAACATGGATGGACTTGGAGGGCATTATGCTAAGTGAAATAAGTCAGACAGAGAAAGACAAATACTGTATGATATCACTTTTATGTGGAATTTAAAAAATACAACAAACTAGTGAATATAACATAAAAGAAGCAGACTTGCAGATACCGAGAACAAACTAGTGGTTACCAGTGGCGGGGGGCAGGGGTAACACAGGGGTGGGGAGTGGGAGGTACACACTACTGGGTGTAAGACAGGCTCAAAGATGTATTGTACAGGGCTTCCCTGGTGGTGCAGTGGTTAAGAGTCCGCCTGCCAATGCAGGGGATGCGGGTTCGTGCCCCGGTCCGGGAAGATCCCACATGCCGCGGAGCGGCTGGGCCCGTGAGCCATGGCCGCTGAGCCTGTGCGTCCGGAGCCTGTGCTCCGCAATGGGAGAGGCCACAGCGGTGAGAGGCCCACGTACTGCAAAAAAAAAAAACAAAAAAAAAAAGATGTATTGTACAACATGGGGAATAGAGCCAATATTTTGTAATAACTGTAAATGGAAAGTAACCTTTGAAAATTGTATAAAATGAAAAAAAAATTGCATAAAAGTAAAAAATTTTAAAAAAAAGACTGGTCAATCAGCCTGAAAAGTCAACCCTGGGCAGAGAGGTTCTCCTCCATCGAGAGACCCCTGAGCATGCCCAGATGTCCCGGAAGACTAGAGGAATGACAAAGGACACAGGCTCCAGAGTCGGACTATCTGGCTGCAAATCCTGGCTCCACGTTTAACTACAATGGCAGTCTCCCTGCGACTCCATTTCCCCATCTGTAACTGGAAGATAATAATAATAATAATAATAATAATAATAAGTCCTACCTCATAGGACTTCTGGGAGAATAAAATGAGATCACAGTTAAAGAGTTTAGCAGGGTGGCTGTCACACAGAAAACACTGAGAAAATGTGTGCAGAACCTCTACTATCTTCAGGGGTAACCGGAACTATCCGTCAGTTCCTAAATTGGAATGACAACACTACAGCTACTACTCTTTGGTGAGGCCTTAGTTAGGGGCCCCCAAACATCTCCATGGGGTTGGTGGTATGATCTTCACTTTAGAGTTGAAAATGGAGCTTTAGAGGGGTTCAGACACTCATCTAAGCTTTCTCAGCTAATAAAGGTGGAGAAAGGAAAGCTTTGATCACATTGCAGCAGAGTCTGTATCATGTATCCAAAAGCTTAAAACCATTTTAAAATAATACTTCAATATTCTAAAATCACTACTTATTGAATAAAATTATGTTCTTGTGAAATCTCCCAGCCTTCCCCCATGACATCTGCATAATTGCCTATACAATCAGAAATACCTCACAAATTCTGATAGACCATGAAAAACACAAAATTATCTTTCTTAACATAAATATGACTGGGTAAATCATCATGCCCATCTTAATGAAATGGATTTAAAAGTTCAAAAGTACTGCAGACCCACAGTTTATCAAGTCACTTTTTTTTCAGGATTTGTAATTTGATCCTGTAAAAGAAGGGGCACATTCCAATTGGCCTGTGCAACACCTCTCTGCCGGTATGTTTGGTAAGTGTGTAACAAAATTGCCTAGAGGTAATAGTTCCTCCAAATATCCTCTTCCACCATCTCTTACACTAGTTAGCAAGACTTATAGACACTGCACTGCCCTAAAATAAAACACACCAAATTTAAACTATGTCAATGTTGACTCATCTCACAGAATGTCCTTTAAAGCTCTAATACTGAGATCCAGAAATATGTATAACCGGTCAAATTTATAAATACTTAAAGATCCAACAGCTTCAAGGCAAACTGGAATAATAACAAATCACCTTAGTCAAAACTGTTTGTCCCCATCAAATGAACTGGTTACCCAGTTTCTTAAAAACAGAGTTCGTGATAATTGTTAATCCATTAACAATTTTAAATAAAAGACATGCTTAACTTTCTTAAGAAGTAGTGGTAAAGATAAGCCAAGCCATATAATTTTATTTCACTTTCTATTTGCTTTACCCAGGCGTTACACAGTCTGGTAATCCTTGCTAGTAAATGCAAATGAGATGATATTAACAAAACATGTAAACTGAAGTAAAAGAGAATCTAAAATGCCTAAATATTTCAAGAATGCATTGCAGTTTCAATAACCTGAAACTCCAAGTATCAGAAAGCAGAAAGAATTACCATACAACTGTAAAAGTCAAATATTTATACAGGTGCCTTAAAAGCCACTGTTGGGTGCACACCATCATCATTGAAATTTACTATCTGTTAAGTAGTTTCAAAGTGCAATAACTGGCTTGGAGCGTGAAGTTTATGACAACAACTAATACATCTGGAGAGACTGTGAAGGCGTGATGCTTGTCATAACTTTCATCAGGTCAGCAACACGCAGCCAGGCTAGAGCAAGACGGGACCTCAGCACAGGTGCCTTTTCTCATTTCAAGAGGGAAACCTAAACCGATATCTTCATGGATAATTTAACAAGGATTGTTCCATAAATTTATAATGTCACTTGTGACTTTCTTATAAATGCTCTTTAGTAGCATTCAAAAACAATATTCTTGAGATAAAAGTAACTGAGAACATGAAGTATGAAACTATTTCAGCTTCAAATTGAGAAAAGGGGGAATGTTTAATAGGAGAAGAACCTAAAAAGGTTATAAACCCCTAAGGCCACATTCCATAAAAAGGTGGAAAGAAATTTCAAAAATGATAAACATCCAAAATTTGGAATTATCCCTAATGGTATATTATTTAAATTTATAAATAGGAATACCTCCTTAATAGTTTACAAATTTACAATTAGGAATATCTCCTCTTATTCTTCCAATAATTCTAACTATAAGAAATTTTCCTTTTCAGGGTAAAGAGAAAAATGGAAAAGAGAAACAACATTTGTGAACATTCAGCTAAACTTCAGTCCCTGAACTTCTTAGATGATGATATTGTTATGTTTCTCCTCTTCACTTCTGAGCAGGAATAAAAAGTGTGTTGAAAACTACAAGAAACCACGCTAAGCTCAAGTCAGCGTTCCTCAATAACCAAGGTTCGGTTCCACTGTTCATTTCACCACTTCTTACTTCAACACAGCATCTGCCTTTTCAAGATCTGAGAGTCAGTTCAAGTTTTCAGGTGAAGATAAACACTAAGCAGTAAACCCCCAAACAAGCGTCTCTAAACTCTGGGGGGCAAAGTCAGTTACACCCACCACCAGGGCTCAGCAAGGAAGGGTGCCCGGGGCCCCCTCAGGCCCAGGGCCTCTGGCCCGACCATGGCGCACCCCGTCAAGAACGTGCAGGCAAGGCTGGGAGCCAAGGACGGCCAGAGAGATGCCACAGGTGGCCTGGACGGCTGGCTGGCCCCGCCTGGCACTTAGGCCTCCTCCTCCGGGAGGCCCAGGGCCGGGCCCCGCCTCCCAGGCCGAATGGACCCTCCAGCCTCTTGCTGGCCAACTTCAGGCGGAGGCGAGCTCGGAGCAGGGCTCAGGGGGCCCCTGTGGGTCCGTGAACTGGACACTGTGACCGCCCAGGGCGTCAATTCCACCCTTCCCTCTGCGCCCAGAGTGTCTAAAGGTCCCGGGGCCGCCGCAGAGCGGGTGGCCAAGAGGGCCCTGGAAGGGGCGGCTGCAACCGGCCCCCTCCAGGGCGCCTGGCCGGCTGACGCAGCCCCGGCTCGGGCAGAAGGTCCCGCGCCGCCTTCCCGGGACCCCTCCCGGCCACCCGGGCCGGTGACGCCCCACGCCCCCCGCGCCGCGGGCGCCGCCGCTCGGCCAGGTCTCCCGGACAACAGCCGCCGCCGCGCTTCCGAGGCGGGTCCCCGCGCCCACCCGCGGCCCGGCAGCCCACCTGTCCCGGGGGTCGATCCAGCTGGTCCTCCGGGTGTTGTGGTCGATGTAGAAGACCTTGCCGTCGTAGTCCCTGGCCTCCTCCCAGCCCCGGGGTAGCGGCAGCTGCCCGCTCCCGGCCCTCCTAGGCATGGTCGGCGGCCTCGCCGGCGAGCGGCGCCTCCATAGGGACCGGGCGCGGGACGCGGCGGGAACGCGACTGCCCGGCCCGACCCGGGCGCCGGCGTGGGGCTGCGGGGCGCGGGGCGCGGCGGGGCCACGCGCGGGGGCGCCTCAGGAAACCCTGCTCTCGGCCCCAGCGGGATCAGTCCACCATGTCTGCGTCGGAGCGGGCGAGCGAACCCTCCTCCTCCTCCTCCTCCTCGCGATCGCCGCCGCTGCCTCCGCCTCTTCCTCCTCCTCCTCCTCCCCGTCCCCCTGTGGCCGCCGAGGGTCGCGGCGCCCAGGCTGCCCGAGCCGCCGCCGTCTGGGCTCGGATCCGGGAAGCTCCGCGGAGCGGCGGCCGTGGCGGCGACGGTCTCCTCATTTGCATACGATTAGCATGCGCCCCGCCCGGGGCCCGCCCCCACCCGCTCCTCCCCTCGCTCGGCTCATCTGCATGCACATTCCTCGCCGCCACATTCCAGGGCTTAACCCTGCCGCTCCCGCGGCACGCTGCGCCTGCCGGGGCGCCGGCCCGAGTCAGGGGCGGAAGGGAGCCGCGGGCCAGGTGGGAGGGAAGACGGAGAAGGAATGCGCTGCTCGCTGCTTCCCCTTGACCCCAAATATCTCCCTACAGCCGACCACTTGGGGTTTTAGAGCTTCGGGACGGGAAAGGCGGCTAAAGAGAAGTCTCCGCAGCCCTCTCCACCGCCTTCCGACTTCTAGGGAAACCACAAGACTTTCGAGAGGAAAGGGGTGGGGAGGCTCTCTTCGGAAGACAAGGTCCCAGCAAACCGAGAAGGCACAAAGGCTCTCCCGCTCCCCCTCGGACCCCGGGGCGTTCCGGGCGGTGGGAAAGTGTGAAAAGCAGAGCCAGCGCTCGAAAGCGCGTCAGTGGCGCGTCCGGGGCGGTGTCGCCCCCGGGGCCTCTGCAGGGCGCCCGGCCCTCCGTAGGGCGCCCGGCCCTCCGTGACCTCAGCCTCGCGGCGGAAAGCGAAGGCGGATCCCGCGGTCCGAGGGCGCCGCGACATGCCTGCCCCGGTGCCCCGCTGCGCGGGAGAAACTCGGGTCAGATTCGGAAAAGCCACTGCACCCCCCCTCCCCCCACACCCCCCGCCGCGGCCGTCGTCGTCGTTGTCGTCGTCGTCCGCCGCGCGCGGGCCTGAGGCGCTCCACACGGGGGCCCTGCGCTGGACGTGCACGCGCCCGGGAGCCAGCCCCTTACGTCCGCCCGCGCCCCGGGAAGTCCCCCGCCCGCGCCCCGGGAAGTCCCCCACCCGGAGCCCCGCCGAGGCCCAGAAGGTGTGGGCGAGCCCGCTGGCAGGAAAACGCGGCGGCCTGGCGGCCAGGCTTTCCTAGACCCTGGATGTGTCCGGGGAGGAACGTGGACTTTCTCTCCTTCTACAAGTATTTATTTATTCAGCAGCTACTACGCCCTGGTCGGCCCTGAGGAGGGTCCGGACGTCGGGCTCCGGGCTGGACGGTTCCATGAGCCGCAGGCCTGGCAGGGCTCGGACACACAGCATTTGTGCCCCCAGCCCCTCGGTCTGGGAGGGAGCCTCCCAGTCCCCAGACTCCTCTCCAGCCAGGTCTACACCACCGTCCCATTCATATTCTTCTGGGTTACTAAGCAGCTGCTTTTAGAGTAAAAACAAAAAACAAAATAAAAAAAACGGAGGAAGACCCGGAGATCATTCACCTTTTGGTGTGAATTCGCTTAATCCTGCCGCCTAATTTGTAAAGACTTCCCCACCTTGTGCGGGACGCAGCGCACAGCAAGGGCTTTCAGGGGGTTTGGAACAACGTCCGCCTCCCTTCCTGGGTGCACAGACCGGTAAGGGAGTCAGGTGAATTGAGATTCTCTACAGCGCGGAGCTGGCGCTGCGCGGTTAGTGTAGCAGCTGCCCTGGAGGCTGGGGACGGCCTTTGGTTCTCCAGGCCGTCGGGGCATCTGCGGTCAATCTCGAAGGTGGAGGGAGGAGGGTGGTCCTCGAGAGGAAGGACGTGGGGTCAGGCTTGGAACAGCTTCACGGCGGGGACTGGACCTGCCGTCTCGGGCGAGGGCCTTAGAAGGGGTTGTATTTGTACTCGGAGCATCTGGGCAGAAACTTTTAACTACTAGAAACTCTAGAGAGAACTCCTGGGAAGGAGCTACCAGAGGTCGCAGGAGTTGGGGAACGGAGTCACCCAAGATGAACTCACTTACTGTATCTTTCTAGGTCTTCCTCGTTTACACCCAGGAAACTAGGCTTCGCCTGTAACAAAGGGAAGCCCCCGCTTCCAGGTCCTGTGTTCAGCCCCACTCCATTGATAAGGAAGTGATCACACAAGGCAAGCTTCTCCTGTTCAGGTGAGATGTGACATCCTAGTGGATAATCTTAAGGTTGTACTTATGAATGCTGTGAAAAAGATGAGACCTGGCTAAAACTAATCTCTCACACCACTGAGTGAACGAGGTGCTTTGTTTTGGACTGGTCTATACTGGCCCATTAGCATGGCCAAAATTTGTGTTATGGTATACTAATAACATCATTTGGCAACCCAGCCAAGCCATTCTTGTTTAAACCTTGCTTCCTGCTGTGCTTTCCCCCCTCAAAAAAAAACAGTTAGAAAACATGAATTATATTAAAATGTCTGCATCCTACTGTTAAAAAAAAAAAAAGTAACACACTTTGCTGTTGCCACAATTTAGTTTGTTTCACTGGAATGAACTACTGCCCAATACTTCTCGGTGTTATTTCACATTTGATAAGCTTTCAGGTAAGTATTCTTACCCAACTTCTAAAACCGATGAGGAACCCAAAATGGCACACAGCGGTAAATGACATTTATTGTTCTATAAATCTCAAGACTTCAAAAAGGGACCCTAAATAGACAAACAAAACTCTGAAGCATTTAAGAGGCAAGCTCGCTTCTTCTCCCCCACTGGGTGGCACAGGAAACATTTGGTCACACAAAAGCAGTTAAGATGACAGAAAGGAAAATTGCTCCTCTGCAGGGTTTTTTTGTCTTGATCAAGTTTTCACTCTGCTGTTCTGAGTTCACCCAGTTTACACAGTACCATCCCTTCGGAAAATTCCTAGTGGTTAAGACAATGAAGATTATCCCTAGTTTATAGATGGATACATTTAGATTTCATTTGGTTCCAGTTGATCATTGGCACAGAAGGATGATGCTGTCTGCTGTCCTGGATACCAGATTACCACAGTCTATGGCAGCACTAGCCGCTGAAGAGTCTGTTTTCTGGCCTTCAATTCCCTTTTCTCCCAGCTTTACATTTTCTCTGGTACTAATAGTCTGTGGGGAGGTGAGCTGCCATTAAACAAAGCTCCCACGTCAACGTCCAAATCCTGCGTGGCAGGAAAATTAGCGGTATCAAAAATGGGAGTAGACAGTGAAATTTATTTCAACAGATAATTAGTTATAACTATCCAAATTTAAAATATGTATACTTTTAATCCAGCAATCCCAGTGCTACAGGTTTACCTACGGATATTAAAATTCCTCAGGATTTGCAAGGATGTTCATTGTAGCATGCTTCATAATAACAAAACTGGAAAAACCACCAGCATCCATCATTAAGGGACTAAGTAAGTGAATTATCCATACTCAGCAGGCATATTAAAAGCATTGCATAAAAATGTATGTGCTGATAATGTGTGTGCTGATCCTGGAAAGATGTCCAGGATCTTTAAGTGAAAAAAAGCAAGGTGCAAAAACCACTTGCTTGTTAACTTCACTGGAGGTGGAGCCAATCATAAAATTTAAAGAACACAGCCTCCTATATACTTCCTTAGTGTCAAAGGGAGAATTCAGACAGTAAATTAAGAGAATGGGGACTGTCAGAAAGGTCTCGTCAAAGCAGTATACATAAGGAAAACGATCATTAAAAGGGATGGGGTCGAGATGAGTGGACATGATTCCAAAATGGACCGGCGTGGCAGGGCGTGCTTGTAGGAGGAAATGGATATTGGAAACTCCAAGGTGAATCTGGTGTGCAAGATCCCAAGACTGGCTGGAGCCGTCTAGTTAGGAGGCTGGTGTGGTAATATAGGTATGAGAGAGATAAAGGTCTGGATTAGAAATAAAGTGAGGAAGGCATGAAAAGGAATGATCCGGCAAGAATTCGCTACTGATTAGATTAAGCAGTAAGTCGACCACAAGGAGGAATCTGGTATGAGTCCAAGATTTTAGGCCATCAAGAGAAACTCAAATAGCTGAAATAAATGAGGAAGTCCAAAGGGGGATCTGATATGGGGTTTGATTTTAGAAATTAGAGATACCCAGCAGAAAGTTAAAGGTCGGGACTCAAGCTCAAACAAAAGGTCAGGACTGCAAATACATGGTCAAATGTCACCCATCTGAAATTCTGTAAAGGGCTGAGGATTCAAGATTGAATCTTGGGAAAGAAACATCAGTATAAGTCTAATAGCATTAAGTAACCCATCTATAGTCCTGTATTTGGCCTGTAATTCTTCAGTAATTTGATGTGATTTAATTTATTTCTTTGTAAAATGTGGTCTCCATTTTCAGTGATGTGTGTAAGAATTCATTACTAGCGTGTAATCCATCTCTGAATGAATTATTGTTATAAACTTTAAGCTTAAGCTATTGAATCAACTCATGTGTAGGACAAGATGAACTGGTTTTCAATATTTTAATATCTCCTGTCTCCTCAAGGAGATCAGGGATTATATCAACTGGAACTTCTAAATAAGGATAACTTTTTCTTTCCTGAATCAAGCTAGTGACTTTTTTGTTTTTGTTTTTGCTCTTCTGCAACCGAAACGTTAAAATAAATAACATCTCTAGGTATTATGAATCAGTAGCCCTAATCCACAATTCCTAAATCTTATTGTCTAGACAGTCCTGAAAAAGATAGGCATATGAGCGTTAAGAATTCCCAGTGCCAAGCCAGACCAGAAACCTCGATAACCACAGCCACTTCCCTGCCAGTTACTCATTATAGCAACACCTTGGGCAACAGCAATCATTCCAGTTCAGTAGCAAGTAAGCAACATCAAACAGGTTAGATTTTACCTTACTCACTGCAGAGGGAGACCCACATTGAGCGAATGCTGTGGTTGCTAAAGAGATAGAAAACATTTAATAGCTGTCTTATTAACTAAAAGGAACAAAAGCTCCAATGCCATGTTTGTATGTGTGAGGCTCTCAGAGGGTACCTCTTGTATACTCTGTGGGGTAGACTCTTAGAATAAATATTCACTGACATTCTTTCTTACATAATGAAAAAATATAAGGTTCCATTTTCCTTTTACCATCTTTAATTTGCATTTTTCCCCCATTCCAACTTTATAATCCACGAAAAACAGCTTCTTTAAAAGACGGGATGGTATTCCCTCATCCCTATCTTTTAAAACTATTTCATATCTCCTTTCCTATCCCTCTGAATTTTCCATTAAAATCTTTATTTCTACTTATTATTTCTCAGTCTTTCTCTCTTTCTCCACTTCATCCTCTCTCTTTCTCTTAGTTCTTGATTTCCTGATGTTGACTCAATGCTGTGAATTTGGCTTTAAGAAATTTAACTGCAGTATAATCTCCCAAATTTGTCTGATTTAGGGATATTCAAATTGAATAAGGAGAAAAATTGGTCTATGTAATAAAACATGTTCAAAGAAGTGTATTTTGCCAATAAACGTATGGAAAGTTGCTCAACATCATTAAGAACCAGTGAAATGAAAACTAAAACCACAGTGAGATACTCATGTAGCTGCTACACTGGCAAAAACTGAAGTTTAAAAATATCAGGTGTTGGTAAGAATGTGGAGCGACAGGTATTGTCATCAGTGACGGGTGGCAATACAAATTGGTACAGACACAGTTTGGCCATATCTAGGAAAATTGAGGATATCCACATCCTTTGACCTAGTGATTCCATTCCTAGGTATATCCCTAGAGAAATTCACACCTATATGCTCCAGATCCACGTACAAGAAATGTTTAGGGTGTATTATTTACAGTAGCCTAAAAGTGAAGCATGCAACTGTCTGATAAAGAATGTAGTGGATAAATATATTGTGTGGTTTATTTATGCAATACAGTAGAGCAATGATAAATGGATGAACTATAGCTACACAAAACCCCTTCGGTAAATCTTTAAAAATATAATGTTGGGTAAAAGAAGCAAGAAACAAAAGAATTTGTACAGAGAGATTTCATTCATATAAAGTTCACAAAAACAGGTAAAACCAAACTATATTGATTAGAGATGTGTATGTAAGAGGTGAAAGTATAAAGAAAAACGAGGAAATAAGTACCGCAAAGGTCAACATAGTGCTTACTTCTAAAGGGAGGGATAATGTTGAACTTGGGGAGAAGGACATGGGGAGAGGAATTCTGTTAATGTTCTGAGGTTTTTTTAAACCTGTTTGCTTTATCTTTTTTGTTAAACTATATGCACATGTTTATACACTTTTCTGTATGTATGTTACATTTCTCTTTCTCTCTCTCTCACACACACACACACACGGAAATACTATAGTTTTATCTTGAAGCGTCGGAATACCCAAGACCTGGGAAACCTGCTTTAATGAACAGATGAAAATTGTACTTGTAATTGGCACATTCAGTGTGTGAATGCAAATGCCCCACTAAAGGTTATTCTTTCTAAAATAGAGTAAGCTCCCTTATTTGTTTATTTACAGATGTTGAGACATATATACAAATAAGGTCCAATTACAATAATTCTGTAAAACGAAGCTATATCCTTCAAATTCGTATCCTGTACCAGAACTTCTTAAAACCATAAGAAATTATGCACAGCAATAATTCTACACAACCAATATTCTGTCTGGCTGCTAAACACTTTCAGTTTTAAAATGGCCTGACTACTGTTCCACTGGTGTCCTGGGGGGAGGGGGAGGGGCAGCGGGTAGGCCAGCGGAGGCCCGACTTTACTGAACTGTGCTGTGCATGCCAGTTTTTTTAGCTCTCACCCTTCAGCTCACTCAACTCTTTTTGTAGAAAACATCCAAATCACCTCTTCTAGAATTTACCTAGACCACCAAATCACAAAATAAAATAAGTCCCTCACTCATCCATTCAACTTCTATTGCACACTTAATATGAACAGGGTTCTGAAAACTAAAGGCTGAACAAGAACAAGGTCCCTGCTCGATTGCAACAGTACTGGTTCTCAGTATTTGGGTATTCCCATGCATTGTGGTGTTTTTGTGTCTTTAAATATCTGTAATTTTGTTGGTGTAATACCGTTATTTTAATATTTAAAAAATAAAAAATTGGAGCCATTTACTTCTTGAGACACACCCAAGAAATTTAGATTATTTTTATTTTGAAAAATGTGAAAACTACAGAAAAATTGAAAGA